AGAACGTCATCGATCGGGCCGTCGTCCTCTCGCGCGGCGACGTGATCGACGTCGACGACCTCGTGCTCTCGACGCTCAAGACCAGCGGCGACACCGAGGCCGAGACGCCGCCGGGCAAGGTCGGCCACTACGAGCCGCTGCCGCTGGAGGAAATCGAACGCCGCCACATCCTGGCGACGCTCAAGAGCACGGGCTGGAACAAGAGCCGCTCGGCCAGCATCCTCGGCATCGAACGCTCAACGCTCGACCGCAAGATCCGGCGCTACGAGTTGAAGCGCACCAAGGCGCCGTCGGGCGGTTAGCCGTGGCCGCCGGTTCTGCCGATTCGGATACAGCCCGCGATGGGACGGGCCTGTGCATCTTCGGTCGATCCGACATTTTCTCTTAGAAGCGACCGCGAACGCTAAGGTTGGTCCCATGTCCGAGTCGCTCACGTGTCATTACCGTACGCAGTAAGTCGTTGCCCCCGTGCTCTCTCAGAGCTGAGCAGGAGTAAGCACCCTGCAAACGCCGCGAGCGATACGATCGACGGCTCCGGAACGAGCGTCAGGGTCAGTCGTGCGTCAACCGAGAATAAATCCAGCCCTGGACCACCGGTTGAATTGAGGTCGAACGAGAATGGCGAACCGTCGGCGAGCGTGCCCGACAGAGTTTGCTCGCGTTCATGCACTACGAAGGCATTGTATGGCGTCAGTCCCGTCAGTAGCATGCCATCAAGATAGAAAGCACTGCCAAAGATGTTCACGACACTACCTTTCAGTGCTGTGAATTCGCCGTCGAAACTCCCTCCGTAGATGTTCAGCGTGCTTACTTCACGCGAGTAAACACTGCCGTTCAAGACATCGCCAGCAAACTCGCCGCCGGTGATGGTTGCAGTTCCTGATGAGTTGACAAAGTCGCCTAGGAACATTCCTTCGGCGATGCTTATCGTTCCAGCCTGGACATTCGAGCCGCCGTCTCCGTTTACAATGTCATCCGCAAACACTCCACCGGCAATGTTGATCGTGCCTTTGCGATTCCAGATATCGCGACTGAATGCGCCGTTTTCGATATCGATACGGCTCAGGGAGGAGGTGAGGAGCCTTCCATCAAATCTCCCGTCCTTTATGGTCACAATGGCGTTGTTCACGAAGAAAAGACCTTCGAATGACCCTCCAAAAATATCGGCCTCGCCGCTGTTAATCTTTAAGGTCTGCTCGATTGTGCCGCCAAGGATCGACAACTTGCCCGCGCCAGATAGGCCACCGCGTATGTGACCATCAATGAGTGTTAGTTCGCCACTTAGCACCTGCACGGAGGATTCTATCTCGGCGCCTCCCGTAATCTCGGCGGACGCATTCTTGTAAACGCGCAGTCCGCCGACCGACGCGCCGTCGATGGTGACCCTTGTGCCCGGGAACGCGGAAAACTGCGCGCCAACCTTTCCCCCTATGATCTCTACTTCGCTGTTGTGAGCCTGGAACCAGTTGTCTACCTCTCCACCGGAGATGCGGACGGTGCTGTCGAGGACTTCTGCAAAACTCCCAACTCGGCCACCCGTCACGTTCAGCGTTGCGCCGATGGCGGTGAAGTTGTCCGGCAACTCTCCGCCCTCGACGATGGTCATGGTCTGACCGGGACGGAGCCCGTTTGGTTCGTCCTGCAGCGGCGCAGCGAGCACCCTTGGAGTGAGATCCGCAGCCGGCAAGGGAGTACGGGTTACCTTCACCGCTCGGAGCATGTCGCCCAGGGGGTTCGCTTCTGGGCTGAAGATGAACGGGGAGCCGTCGCTAAGAATCCCGGAGAATACATCCAACACTCCCCCTTGATCGTCCAGCGTGATTTCGCTACCGAGATAGTCCTGCCCGTTGAGTTGGAAGTTGGCGCCAAGGAGCTCGACATAACTTCCTTCCATGGTCTGGAAATCGGGACCCACCGACCCTCCAGCCAACGTTACTTGGCTGCCTTCGAAGGCGTTGAATTTTGTGCCAATGCTGCCACCTGTCACGGAGAGGACGCTTCCGCGGCGAACGCTCGACCGCTCCCCAAGGAACCCGCCGGACATGTTGACAACGCTGTCGATGATGTCCACGCCACTGCTAAAGCTGTTAACGGCCAATGAGCTAATGCTGCTGCGGCCACCCAGGATGCCTCCGGTGAGATTGACCGTGCCGTTGCTGATCTTAACACCTCCGCCAACGACTCCGCCCGCGACGTTGAGTGTCGCGTTGACTACCGCGAAGTTCTCTGGCAGCACACCGCCAGCTACGACTGTCAGGGCCTGACCCGTGCGTAGGCCGGAAGGTAGGTCGGTCTGCCGACTATCGACCACGCTGGGCGAAAGGTCGATTTCCGGCAACGCAGCCTGTGTGAGCGTTACGCCGTGCAGATCATCACCGGTCAGCGGAGAAAAAACGAATGACGAGCCGTCGCCAAGCGTGCCTGTAAAGATATCCCCCGCACCAAGCGTGATCTGACTCCCGATAAAGGCGGCGCCGTTCAACTGGAACTCGCCGCCGACCAACTCAACCGTGCTGCCGGCACGTGCTGCAAAACCTGGACCCAGGCCCCCTCCAGTGATTTGTACTTCGCTTCCCGACTCGGCCAGTAAGCTGAAGTTCAAGTTGTTACCGGTTCCTACGCGGCCGCCGGAGATATGCGTCACCGTGTCGGCCGACGCCACCATGCTTCCGACGCGTCCCCCAGTCACATTCACGACGCTGCCTGGATGGGCGATGAAGTTGTTTCCGATCGATCCTCCGGCGACGTTCACGACGCTCTCGAAGGCTTCGAAGCGGCCTCCCACGTGACCACCGGTGAGGTTTACCTTGCTCCCGGCGTAGGCATATGAGAAGTCGCCGACGAGACCTCCTGAGACGTTGACAAGACTGCCCACCGATTCGAGATTGCGACCTACGGCGCCGCCGTTGATGTTCAGTGTGGCGTCGAGTGCCGTGAAGTTATTCCGCAGCTCCCCGCCGGCGAGCAGTGTTAGCTCCTGTCCTTCACGCAATCCCGATTGGCCCTCGGTTACTTTCCAGTCGACTATCCTCGGGCGGAGGTCCACTGGCGGAAGCGTTGCCACCGTCAACGTAACGGCTTGCAGCGTATCGCCGTATTGTGCTCCGCCGAGGAAGGCGAACGTGGAACCGTCTGCGAGAGTTCCGCTGAAGACCTGGGGGGTCGAAGAGAACCGCTCGAGGGAGATGCTGGCTTCGG